TTAGAACAATTTAAGGTATGGAGTTTTAAAGCAAATACTATTTGAGTATAGCCAGCAATGTGCTGCTTAAAATTACCGTTGATTTTTTTTTATTTACTTTTTTTCATTAATAAAAAATGGCGTTGATTTATTTTTTTGCGAACAATCATAGTGCGTAATTACATACAAATTTTTTCTTTATATTTAAATAATCATTTAAAATATTTAGGCAATCAAAAGCTCCTCGGGATTCCAGTAAAATTAGTTTTGAATGGAGCGAATTATATCGATATACATTTATACGTACATATGTATTTATATAAAAAGTATGCAAAGAAATTTATAATATATTTAAAGATAACTACGAAAAATAAATCGGGAACGGAAAGTTCATCAAAAATCTACCAAAATGAGAAAAAATTTACCTTTTTACCAACCCAAATTTTTTCTACCAATTTTGGTAACAATTTACCAAAGTGGCAACCCTGCGCGGGGGTCATGAGCGCGGCGCGAACGGGCGCGGCGCGGTGCGGGGAGCCAGCAAATGTGCACCCGCCAGGTTATGCACACGCAAAATTAAAACTTACCTAAGTACATATATTTATTTTCCAATATCCAATAAATCTGGAAATATTAAATAATTATTTATTTCATTTTATTAGTAATAATTTGTATCAAATTAAATAATTCAGTATCAATTTCATATATTTTTCACTTTTGCCTCAATTTAATTCAGTATCGACAACTGGTGAGAGCCTGTACACACACATATTTTACGTGAACAGAATCGAACAAAAAACCTTATTCAGAATGGAACAAAAAATATTAATTAGAATTTCAACAACACTTTACATATAAATCAACATTGAATCTTGAACAGGTATGTATTTTTAATTCAAGAGGGTGTCCAAGGCGAATTTAATAATGAATTACAACAAACACATCATTTGGACGTAATGTTCTCTACGGCGAAAAATTCAGATTCGCCGGTAACACCGCCTTATTAATTCGCCTTGAGAGTGTCATTTCAGAATATGGCTTTATTAGTCATTTGCACAAATTTGAATATGACTTTATTTCCTTCTGGATTGGAAATAACGCCATATGGTTTTATTTCCAAAACAAAATGGAAATAAGACCATATGGCGTTATTGCGTATGGTGTTATTGTACCCCACCGATCTTAGTTAAGTGCAAACACTAGTAGGGAACGAATTTTTTACATTTTAACAGATGGCAGGAAAACACAGGGTTGTAATAGACTTTCAACGTGGCTTCGAGTTGGTTAGCTTTTAACCATCTCAGTGAAATGGTTAAGTGCTGTCATTTTTATATGGCGAAACTACGCTAAATCAAGTGGGTTATCGGGATAACCAACTCAACAGCCATAACTACGTGGTTAAGCTCTGGTGGGGACATGGTATAAGGATATTGAGGGCACGTTAAACAAATTAGGGGTATCTGCTTTATATTTAACACCACATAAAAAAAACGCTTCAGGTTTTGCATTTTTAACACATACACTAAGTATTAACCGCACAGCATTACAAAAATTCAAATGTTAATTAAAATTTGTTATTAACGAAAATTCAAAAAAAAAAACAAGGAGATGACTTTCAAAGCGTAACGAAATATAGGAAATAAACGATAAACAATTTGAAGTTTAAAGGTTTGCTTCTCATGAGAGCAACGTCAAAATGGCTTCTACCCAAGAATGATAGAACACAAGATTGCGCCAATCGAGCTGAGAACAACTGGCCTTGACGTCAAAATATGTATACCAGAATGAGAGAGCAAGACGAACTCGACAAGAAAAAGAGGAAGCAGCGAACAAAAGGCAGTGTTGCCAAGTTTTGAATTTGAAAAAGCACCACATTTTTATTGTTGTATTTTATGGACTTTATATGAACACTGTTACAATTATCCTTGAAACAATCTGGCACTTATGGCAACTCTAGAACATTCTGAAGTTTATCGCTCATTCTCTTTCTCTCGCTGTTCGCAGTGTTCATCCAACTTGACGTTTCTCTTTGTGGAACATTCTACGTCATTCCTCGAACATTCTGCCTATTTCTCGTTGTTCGCTTTGTGTTGCCGCAGTATTCGCCACAATACATAATTTTATTGTAAGGATGCCTATTCAAATTAATAAAAATCAATGTTTCTTGCACAACGGTCGATTTCTTCTGGCATGATTGAAGGTGCTGCACATATTTCGTTGTCGCTTATGATTGTCACTGTGCCATGATTTTGTTTAAATTTTTGTAAAATTGCTTACCACACTTACGATTGCTATAAATTTGTCTTCATTTTTTTTAAGATTTTATAATTTGATGTCTTCAAACTAAAAACAAAAGCACCAAAAACGCACCAAGCACAAAACTTAAAAATCTTCGCGTTTTGAATACCGACTAAATTTCGTGCGAAAACCATCAAGTTGGCAACAGTGAATGTTAACAAAAGTATTTTATGAC